CGAGGAATCATAAAGCAAAGTTGCTGGACATAGAACTTAAAAGGGGCAATGTGGATGTATGTGGAAGAAGAAAAAGAAGTGGGGAAAGGAAATTTATTGAAAATAATATCTTTAAAATATAAAAACTGTCATATTAATTTTTAAAAAAATTATAATAGAGCTATGAACTTTGAAAATGTATATATTTTGATTTCGGTTCAATCCATTTACTACTATTTCAATCCAAATAGATTCTCTAATCTTAACACAAAGTTGTAAATTCTGAAAGATTATATTTAAAGTCAATTTAATTAACCCTTTCAAAGTCTAGTTTAATTCTATTGTGCTTCTCTAAAATATCGAATTTCTAGATGGGTAGTTCCTAAACTGTAATTAAATGAAACTACTGGTAGAAAAAGAGTATTAAAGTAGGGTTGGGGAAAGGAGCAATATAAGGGTATTTGGGTCATTTACACTACATGCGCTCCATTCCAAATACATAAAATGGTATAGCAAGCTAATTATTAGAATGATTTGGTGCATCCCTACGTTCATTCAAGCACATACCAAGCTCTAGAATGAATCCAGAATTGTGATCCCAACCACCCATTGGACTTCACTTCGGTGTACCAGATGGGTCATCACTAATATAATTGAACTCTTATAACCTTGAATATAAATGTACAAAATTAGTTCCTTGCAACCATGTACCCTAGGACTCCGCGAAAAAAAGTTTACTCTAGGGTTTCCCAAAAGGCTTGGCCTAGTGGTCAAAGTTATCAGTTATCTGCATAGGAGAAAGGTGGAAGGTAACCAGTGGATTACTCGTGGTACATACAAACTGGGCCAAGCACCACTGTTACAGTTGCGCTCATCTTTCAACAATAAACCTTAGTTTTTTAATCTTAAAAGAAAGAATCCAGTACATTATGTGAATTACCAAACATCTGCATTGCTGACTAGAGTCTAAACGAGCTACCTCAATGTAACAGTTCCTAGACAGATTTTTATATTCTAACCACCACAAACCATGCAAATCCAGAAACCAAGTCGACAAATGCAAATGCTCCTTTGAGAAATAGAAGTGTTACTCTTTGTGCAATCCAGAAGAATTAACAAAAAAGAAATAGAACTAGACTAGTCAACACAAACCGTAAGAAGTGCTGATAGCAAGCGTGAATCCATTTCAATATGTGATTCTGATGAATCTTTTTCTTTCTTCTCTTTCGAAGTGCCAGAAACCTCTTTATGTCCCTCGCTCTTTTTATTCATCATCCGTCCATCCCCTGCTTCAGATATTAAGACCTGAAATGTTGATTCAGGATAAAAGGAGGTAAAGAAGGATGTTGTATGAAGTTATGCAAAACACTTGATGAGCTTCAATCATAAAATATGAAGCTCTCAGCTCTACTAAGACAAAAGAGGAAAGATGCATACGACTAACTTATTGGACTATGACAGCTCCAGATCATACCTTAAATAGAGCAAAATATACATCTATCAAACGCTTTGCCACCTTTGGGCCATCCCCCCTGTGACTTAAACGAACTTGGCTTAAAAAGTTAACCTGTTACAATTACAGATAAGTAGGACGTTAGGACTACATATTCTGCATCAGCAATATCTAGAGATGACGACTTTAAAACTACACATCTGCATCAGCATATTTAGAAATGTCGCTAACAGCAAATTGGAACAATAAATAAATACAACATGACTTGCCACCAGAGTTTATTGTTGTATACTTATAAATAGACTCATAATTTTTTACTGATCAAATGGCCAAGTCAGGAGATTAAAGCAAAAGTAAGTTTCAAAAATAGTAAAGTTCAGAAAAAGGACAAGGATCACATCAATGTGTTTACTGAAAACAAGCAAGCAGAAAAAAAGCTCCTACCTAAGAACAAACCACAATGACATTTAAAATTAGGGCCTATTGGTTTGATTTATCTTAAGGAATCAGGTTTTACCGGTTCAATCAATTTCATTAATCACAGACACCAAATTATTGGAGCTATTACTTCAAGAAAAGGATTGGTTTAATCGGTTATGTTATAGTCACTTATATACAGTAACAGTTCTCATAATCCAAACCAAACAGAAGAATTTGGATAGACACACTCTGGAATAAGATTTATCATATCGCAAACAAAAAGAACTTGAAGAGGACAAAAGGTATTCGCAGTTGAAAATACAACCACAAAGTACCTAGTGTGACATGCAAAAAAGATAGCCATAAAGTTTCGACATACAGCATGATACTTGGCTCGCAGTCCCAGATGAGGCCGGAAAAGAAAATTATCAACTTCGTCAATCACCACAGCCTGCACAATAAAACAAATAACACGTTAAACAACAAACTTTCATCAGAAAAACTATCACAACAGAAATCATAACTGCACTTCAGTAATGCTAAGGCATGTGCTTCCTAACAGCTTGTCTATAGTCCAGCAGACTCTCTAAGACATTGATGTAATAGTACCTGCCCACCAAACCATCGCGTATGCTTAAGAAATATAATCCTTATTTCAATATGCATTTCAAGGCATAATATTCTAAAAATGTAACCATTTTCAAAGAGCACATTATCCTGCTTGGTCTTATTCGAACATCACAACTAAGTTAAATTTGTATTTGCACAAACTTCTAACAATTTGAGTTGTAACAGAATAATGACTACACGGGCGCTCTCCATTTTACATGGGATAGATTATGCATGAACAACATCCTTCAGATGGGCTTTCAACAAGCACTCTTGAAAGCAGCTTTTTCCTTTTGAGGGACACTCCTTGAAGCCAACTTGCAAATTTAGAGAAGCCACAACATGAAGACAACCGTGGACCTCACAACATGAAGGATATACAGGCTAAAGATGTGATCAATATAGTAATGTCAAAGCCAACAAACGAACATTTATCAGTTTTAAAATAAAATATTGTATGTCCAAGCACCTTTTTTTATCAGTACTTGTATGTCTAAGCACGTTCAACCAAATACTTTGTTTTACCTTCATATTTGAATGGTCAGCCAAAAGCTTTGATAGGTGATAATCAGCATTAGATGCAACCTTGTTTTTAGGATCTCCTAGCTGCAAGAAAGTGAAGAGGTATCAGCTGGAGCTCCACGGTCCCAAGAACTCTCAAGAACAAAGTAAATGGCACCAGAAGCATTGAGGTAAAGCAGCACCTTGTTTACTAGGGCAGCAAGCAATCGACGCTCTTGTTCTGGTTTGCACTTAAGCAAAACATAAACTGTCTAGAAAACATAAATACAAAGATAAGTATTTCCCCACTTTTTTGGATCACATAATCGAAGTCTTCCAACATATGGACGCTCGAAAATATCAAACTACAGGAAACCGAATTGCAGTGCAGATGCAACATCAAAATCAACACTTCAGACTGAAATAGCGAGTGCAACTACTATGAAAGGAGCAAAATGAGTAACTTAAAAGCAAAATCTTGACAAGTAATGAAGCTATCCAAATTTTGTAGAAGCTTATTAACTCTATTTGGTTGAAGGTAGCGTCCTAATAAATTGGTATATCCGGAGAAAAAGATCTGTGTGATCCTCCAAATACTTTGAAAGGTAATAATAAATTATGTGTAGGTTAGCAGTTGCTGAGTTTCACTCAATTTTTAGGTCTCGATTTGACATTTTGAAGTCAAAAGTAAGATTTTCTCAAAAGTAAAGCATAAACTACATTGTCATAATAAATTTGAACTTCCTAATGAGGTTAAATGAAAGGGGAGTCGCACATGGTCACCAGTGAGTAGTGAAAATAAGCAGTTTAATTGGCTTAGCGCAAAGAGCAAGAAGGAATAAAAGTTTCTCTCATGAGTCATTCTTTTCTCCTTTTCTAAGAGACAATTAGCTAAAAAACGTTGAAGAAGAATTTGCTTTGAGGAGAAACATAGATAGGCAACTATACAGATGTGCAATAAAACTGTCAATAACAACCTTTAGTGCCTTGTCTTTGAGTATATCTAAGACATCTCTTGACGCTTCCTCAAGAGAAGCGATATACCGCTCATACCTGAAATAGAAAACCTTATTCAGCTGAAGATCAACATCTTTTTTTTATATGGGAGAAAACCTTATTTAGTAGAAAATCAACATGGTAACAAAATAACCAAGCATATAATAAAGTGAATTATTGAAAAAAGATTCTAACACGCTCTCTGAAATCATCAAATCGGGAACATCTAGAGTTCCATCAAATATATCCTAGTGCACAATGTCTATTCCCCACATTGATGGTATCATGACATTACAAGCACATGAGACCTATCAACCTAAAACTTATGGTGAATCATGGTCAACCTAACACCCACATCTATAATAACTCGTATACCTACAAAACAGATAGGAGTAAGCCTGCTCGATTACCAAAACGAACAGAGGGGTCCCACTTAGGTATCTAACACTTTCTCTAATGCACTAAGATGAGGAGAGAACACTCAACAGCCATCAACCATGCAGGGCTATGGGTCAACATGGGACACTCCCCCAAAAGTTGGCTCAAGTTTTAAAACAATGCTTCACATGTACTACCATATTTGGAGCTCAAATAATGGAACCATGAAACACTTGCCGAAAAGTTTTGGCTTAAGTGTACCTTTGCTTCAAACATTCCTCCCAATACCAAAAGAGTAGAAGCGAGTAACCATCTTTATTATCCGGAATATGATCTATCGGCCGCTGAAAGAGTGTCTTCAGCTTGCGATCAGGCAGCAGACTGGATAGAATAAATTCTTCAAAGTCAAATAATGAACGAACTAAGCATAATAAGGACGATCAATATGGAAAGAAAAACAAAGTTTAGCGCACCTAGAAACAAACAGTTCTTTTAATGCTTCAACACCTGCCAAAGCATGGCGTTTTCCAACTTTAGCTGTCACCATCCCTACATTGTCATTTTATCTTGATTAGAAACAAGCTCTCGCGACAAACAAACCCGCAGATAGAATCTTAATACTTCAGCCCCTCCAAGGCAGGAGAAAGGAACGGTTAAAAAGTCAATAATCTTGGATACAAACCAGATGAAAAACTAAGTAGGATAAATAAAGTCACAAGGCAGGAGGGCAAGGTCTGCATAAACCCTACCCTCCCTAGACGCCACCAATAGGATAACACTGGGTATGTTGTTGTTTGTTTGTTGTTGTTGTACAAACTAGATGAAAAATTAAGTAGGACACACAAAGTAACAATAACAGAAAGTTATTAAAAATATTCCAACTTTTAGTATGTATAGCAACAGGCGAATGAAAGTAAAGAATGGGTACACATGAATAGGATGCAAATTAAGGGGGATGGAGGAGAGGGGAGAGTTATATGTTTTACTTTGGTTGGTTTGAGGGAAGGGGGAGTTGATAGAAATAAATCTGAACCTCTTCTGCCAAACCAAACGAAGTAACAGAAAAAAAAGAAACTGAACTAGAAAGGAAATATCAAGTAGCTACAACTATGTAATTCAAAACTTTCGTATTATTTCTTTCCTCTTTCCTTAGGGACCAGTCAAGGAAAGGGAAGAAACTCTAACTAATCCTCCTTCCCTTTCAGTGATTCGCCTCACATTATCAGTGCAAAGTCTAGACCTTTTCCTTTAGCATGCCACTACACCTAAAAGTAACCTCCTTGATTGAAAGAACCATATCTTCCTAGACTCAAAATCTGAAAAAAAGAAACATTCTTACATTACAATGTATTAGCTTCCATGAAATGTATTTTCCTGTTAAACACCCATGTTTAACAGTACATAAATAAAACCTCTACAATGACTCAATGAGTGCTGAAAATGAGTATCTCTAACTGCAAAGTTCAGCTCTTTATCAGTCATTTGCCTCATTTTTGTCAAGATCTGACTCCACTTACATTCTTCTTTTCTTCTTCTTCATGAGTTAAAGTTTGCAAATTCTTCATCAAATAAAAAAGCAGAGGAAAATAAACTGTTTTGACAAATGGACTTGAAAAGATATGTTTTTTTTACAATATGTGATGGCAGTTATCACATATAACTATAGCATGAGTAGCAAAAAAAAACACACAGTATGGATAACAAGCCATTAGTCCATCAATTCACAGAAGAATTTAGCTATAACCAGCAGAAAGTTCCAGAAGAATAAATACCTAAAAGAGCATCAAGTGATCTCAAATTGGCAGTCGGATTATCGCCAATCATAACAGAAAAAGCAGACACTTTATCAGCAGCAGTTCCTGACCTTAGCGTGGTAAGTACCATCTTAATATCTCCACTTTGTCCTCTTGAAGACTCATAGTCCATTGCATACTGCGCCAATAACCTCTCCCCCATTTCCTTCTTCTTTTCCACTTTCTTTTTCCATTCGTCTAAATTCTTAATCTCAACATTTTTCTTCTCTCCAATAACTTTATCTTCTAATTCTGCAGCATCAACGTACCATACCCCCGACGCGCTCGCTTTCACAAGCGGAAGCTTAGGCATGTTCTTGTATTTGCTATGTGTTGTATTCCATAAATTATTGTCAATTTTTTCAGGTTCTTTGGGCTGCGGCTTGGGATTTTTTCCAAATTTATCGTTGTTATTGGTTTTCTTTTTGTTGAACTTGTTTTCTTTTTCATGTTGAGAGTGTTTCTTGGTATTGGTATTTTTATCATCAGAAGGTGGCTGTTTGTGGGGTTTGATTCGACCTTTTTTGCGGAAGTCAGAGTCGTCGAAGCCGGAAGATGGCGTGGAGGTGGCAAGACCGAGTGAAGAAGCGAAAGAAGCTACATCTGACTGGAGTGCTTCAATGTCTGTGGAACTTTTGGAACTTTTAGCATTCGCCATTTCAGGGAGAAGAGAGTGGTGAAGTTGCTGGAGGGTTTTCGGAAAGGGTTTAGTAAAAGAGAAAATAGAACCGGGCCAAAATTATGAAACTGCTTGTACTCTGTGCTTCTAAAGTTGCGCTAAGCTATTGGGTCTTCCATAATCGTTGTAGCTAAGCAATTGGGTCTCCTTTAGCGTTAACAAAGGTAGGTATTGGGCCATCTAATACAAGCCCAGGTGTAGATTTAGATGTAGGGTAAAAATCAGAAGTAGCCTAATTTACAACTAGTAATTGAAAAATAGCTATAGCTACAATTTTAAAAGTAATTAAAATTTAGTTGTTTTTTTATTTAAAGATAAAATTTAAACAAAAATAAAATTAACAATCCAAAAAAATTCTAGCATAATATGCTGGATTTCAAATTTTTTACATATGAGATTCCAGTATAATGTGTTGGAATTTCATAATATGCTCGAACTTTATACGCAGAAACTCCAAAATCCTGCATATTATGCTGAAAATTTTCGTGTTTCAGCTAAAATAGTAGTTATTTTTTAATTACTTTGCAAATACTAGTTATTTTTTAATTATCAGTCCAAATACAGGCTAGCCCATGCAATTTTGCCTAAGTTAATTGAAAAGTAACCACAATTCCCAATTGATCTAAATTTAGCCACTTTATAATAAGTTGGACAAACATATCCTCAACTAAACATCAAAACTCTACTTTCTTTTTCTCTGCTTCTTCTTTTTCACTTTAATATCTCCTATAAAGCTCATATGAACCTTGTGGGAAAAGTAACACATATTTAATATATGTTCGAATACCTTATTTTGCATAAAAAAATTTCTAAGTGTATAAGAGTTGACTGTATTTTTTGGAACTTAATGTTCGCTCTTCTCTTTTACTTTTTAGTTTCATTATAGAAACATACTATGTCGTTTGTTCTTCTTTTTATAGAGTTTGAATTGTGAAAAATGATGAAGTACATGTAAAAATGTTGAAATTTAATGATGGAGTCCATGAAAAATGTTGGAGCTATTGTTGGAGTTCAGGAAAAAAATAATACTATTCATTAAAAAAATATTGGAACTACTTCTGGATTTAATGAAAAAATATCGGAGTTCATACTGGAGTTCATGCATAAAATGCGAGCGTTAATGTCGAAGTTCATGAAAACATATTGAATTTGATAAAAAAAAGATATTGGAGTTCACGCAAAAAAAAATGGAATTCTAGAAAAAAATTGGAATGAATGGTGGAAGTTTAAGAAATAAGTTGGGTTCGCAAAAAAGGTTGGAATTGGAACTTCTAACAAATAACATTCACGTATTGTATCATGGAATTTAGAAAAGGTGAAAAAGATGAAAAACTGGAACTCTCATCATGTCACGCCCCAAACCTGGGGTGAGACCGGCACCCGGTGCCTCACATATCCTTGCGTACCAACTTGCAACTAAGGAACTCTGAACATATGATATCATACTTTGGCCATGGGTCACATTGCAAGACAACGGTGAATGCTGACTAAATGTCAATATAAAGCTGGGCCGACAAGGCCGTCGTACTTACTACAGCTGACAAACCAACCAAATATACATAAAAGGCCTACAAGCCCATCACATTGTACTAACTGGCAGAATATGTCTACAAGCCTCTACTAATGGATATACTATGATCGGAATAGGGTCCCGACCTACTCATAACATATATACACAAGATGTACATAAAGCTCTAGACCCGGCAACTCTGAAGAGCATGGAGCTTACCGATCAAGCTGAATTCGGGCAACACCTAATGAGGAGATCTACCCGTCTGTCTGTCTGAACCTGCACGCATGAAATGCAACGCCCCCATAAAAGGGGCGTCAGTACGAAATAATGTACCGAGTATGTAAGGCAATATACTGAAAGCTGAAACTAAACTGATCATATGATAACTGAAAGTAACTGGAAGTCAAAGATAATCTGAAGATTTGCTTAACTACTGATACTGACTCAACTCTCTCAATATAGTAAGCAAAATAGCTGCCGTAGTAGGCTCGATCATAGGCGCTCGGCCATACTAGGCTCTGTATCTTGACCAACTGGCTCGCTCATAGGCGTTCGGCCACAGTAGGCTCGGTATATAACTTACCATCTGATCAGTGGTTGCCCAATAGGGGCCTGCCCATCGATTATAGCTCGATGGTAATGAAAATAATGTAATACTGTATATATAGACTCTCTGCTCTCTTGACTGGAAGAAGGAAATAATCAAATGAATATGAAGTCCCGATAAAGAAAATATTGTAACTTGCGAGACTAGCAAAATATACGTAAATTTCAGAATATGAATTTTTTTTATGCCTCGTTATCAAACTTGTGTAATGACGAGATCATGCCAAAATGAAGGATGGGCTTAGCCTTAATATACCTGAAGTAGGGAAAACCCCGTATGTTATTCTTGAAAAGGATCGCACCGCACTCCCTTAGAATTGACGCAGTGCAATTTCGTATGAATTTCTTCACCAACCTAATAATTGCCGTTGCTTATTCTAATATAAAATCTGATATGAACTTTCAAAATCTTCTCCAAAATGGGATTTTGATGCCAAATGAGCATAATGGTAAAGATGACTAATTGAGCATAATGGTAAAGTCAACCCTCCACGTTTCTAAGGGCCAAATGCAATATCCATGTGTCTTGCTAATCCAGTAAGCTAAATCAAGAGTCATCAGACTCTTTTCTACTTGCTGCCACGTGTGGGGGCTTTGTCCCACCTACAATTATTCACAAATTCTAAATTACATGGTTAACTTCTCATTAAACCAATAATTAACCAATTACCTACATAATTACGAATTGTCTCAAATTACTTAAAATACTACTCCTTTTAATACACTTTATACATCATATTGCCATGGTCATATGGTACCTTATATGGCACTAGTCCATAAATACCGGGTATAATAGCTCAGACCGTATTTTATTCCAAATAGCTCACTTTCAACGAAATTCATTTTCTTCGATTTGCTTACCATTTCTCCTTCATGAATTTACTCATCACTTGTTTGAAATAGCATAATACTTAAAATCCCAAAATAATCTCATTCCCGAGCTTATGTCGATTAACTTACGGCGAAACATTAATGTACAAGAAAAATGTGGGATGTAACATCTCACTTCAGAGCTCTCATTAGTTTATTTATGGCGTACTTTCGTGTACGAAAATATGGGGTGTAACATCATTCCCCCCTTTAGAACATTCGTCCTCGAATGTTGACTGATGCACTTATCTTGTTCATAGCCCATATCTCTTGCGAATACTTTAGTACTCCTCTTGCCATCTAGGCAACTGTTCTGTGAATAAGTCCAAAGGCCAGGACATTTCCCCTTTAGTCCTCATTCTCATACCACAATTTGTGGTTGAAATCTTTCCAATATCGTAATTGTTGCTACCTTCTGTCATGCAGCCTGTATGACTCTGACCTTGTAAGTGCGTCTATGCGACTCTTTTTTCCTTTTTTTTTTGCTCTAGCTTCTAGGCAATCTCTAGGCCTCACTTTGCAAACACATACAAAGCTTGATAAAATATCCCTCTGGGCATTTGTAGGTATACTAAAGTTCTTTTCCTGATACTTCGTTGAAATTACGAATATCGCTACATCTTGTTTCACAGACCCGATTATCTATCCGCATAATTTTACTGCATCTAGGTAGGTCATATTATACCATAACTCTCACTTCGGTTTATCATTGTTGAGGTCTGCTACCAAATTCCAGCTTACTCTTGTCGCTTATCCCATATGTATAAATGTAAGTCCTTTAATGCTTCCTCATTACTGTTCCTCTTAAGAATAACGACCTAATTTCAGCTAATACTTTGTGACTTTTGTCCATCCATTATGATTCGCCTCAATATTGATCTACAATATACCACTAATAACTTGAAACTTTTTACGTAATACCTTGCCACTAGGGCTTACGTTGCATCGAGAAATATTTGAAGTGATTTCCATAATCGTATTTCATAGTATCTCAATGTGATTCACCTTATGGGGGTATTCTAATCTCGTGCCGTCCGCGAAATCTTTTCTCCTTCCTTTTTTCTTTTCTTCAAATCATTATTCAATCAAAGGCCCAAACATCCTCTTTTATCTTTCACCATTACACCCTTATTTTATTACCAGGTCAACATTCTATTTCTTCTAAATACTATACTGAGAAGGCTCATTTGAGCTTGAGGTTAAATCACTATTCAACCTCATTTTAGTCATAGGCTCCTTTGAGCTCATTCAGGCTATACTAAGTCAACTCTCTCTCATTTTTGTGGGCTTAAACCCGAGGGCTTATCCATTCTCATCACCTTCTCACTCGCCCTTTCTTATCCTTACTTCTGTCTTCCTACCATCTTGTTGCTCTACTATACTTTAGCTTGCGACCCATACATATCCATTTATACTACTCGTAGCCTTCCTTCAACTTCCTTGCACCCTAGATTTCCTTATGTTATTCTAGAACATCGAGCGAGACATCAGATCGTCTCTAACTCTTCTTTACTTTCTTGGCTAGATCTCTTGGTACCTAGAAACCATAAACTGGAAAATATGCCAATGTCGACGCTGCTATCGATACTGAATCCCAGCGTTTCTAGCCTTCTATCCGAAGTATGGACTATTCCCAACCTTCTGTATATGGGTATCTTGTACGTTGTTCACTTTCACCTTTCTTACCTTAAAATCTCGCATCACATCTTCTATCCCTTTCATGACCTCCTTTCCGCATAAGTGTAATTCACATCCACAACTTGAACTTCTATTATAATACTTGCACCTTTTTACATGATTCGTTGAGAGCTTTATACTGACTTCTTATGAGGCTGGTATTCTTCTAACTGGACCTCTGATATTAAGAGCGACTCTGCAATGTTCTCAATCACTATGTCCATAATTTTATGGGTTCAGTAATCAAACTCCTGATTTACTTAGTTGATGTAACTCTTTAGTTTCCTCCTTCCTCTGATCAACCTTTATGTAGGCTTAAGCTATCTTCCAATCTGCGGCTAATGGTCTTAGTTATTACTTTTAGCCTTTCATGGCGCTATGGAATATCCATGATACAATCCTT